ATAGAAGATTTTCAGCATTTTACTTGCTGTTGTGCAATTATCTCATTGGGTGACATCCTCCTTCAATCGCGGAGTGTATGGAGGGTTTCCCCATCACTGTTGTTAAAAGTCTAGTTTATTCCAGAAAATTTGGCGGTTACTTTGTTCACTGTTTTTGTAACCACCACCATCACATCATTTGTGATCTGATGGTTGGGAAGCAATCTGCGGTGACTTCGGGTGGGAGGTCTTTGTTTTTTGTTTTTGTTTTTTACCTTTCTCCTGTTTTCTCAGCCTAAAAATTCGTAATAAACCTGTCTGGCCGCTGCCACTCAGTGTCACACTGGATCGGCCACACTTCTATCGGACTGCTAATTGGACCACACCCCAGGGGCATGGTCCCGTTAGCAGACGGATTGGAGTGTGGCCGATCTGGTGTGACATTGAGTGGCAGCAGCCTGAAAGGTTCATTATGAGTTTCTGGGCTAAGAAAACAGGAAAAAGGTAAAAAAAAAAAAAAAAAAAAAAAAGAGACCTTGCGGTACATGACTTTGGAGGCCAGGCTCATGCAATCTTCTACAGGCACAAATCAGGGAGTCTATCCAACAAAATTACCTAAGCAACGCAAGCCAAAAAAATTTTCGTTTATGGTTTTGATTTTTAAAAAAAATACACGAAGTTACAAAAAAAAAATAAAAAAATTGTTGTACATCCTTAAAAGATCTACAACCCTATATATATATATATATTTTTATGTTTTTGTTTCAGCCCTTAAAAAATCTCCTTGAAACCCAAAAAAAAAGTCTCATGGCATTTCTTGTTTTTGTTTTTTTATTGTGCTTATGTTGTTGATTTTTTTGAAATATATTCAAAGCTCAAACATTTGAAATATAGTCCCGTGCTGTTTCGTGTGGTGTAGGACCGATGCGCTCGACAGCGTCACATACCCCAAAAATTGGACGCTCTAAGCGGGTCATTAATTTCTTGGGAGCAAAGATAGAGGACAAAATCTTAAACTACAAATTCATTCCCAAATGCTTTCGTACACTTACTTCGTTGGAAGAGGTGAGTAGGGGCTGTAAGCGGGATAGAAATGTCACACACAGAGTCATTGAAAGAGGTCAGGAGGCACTGCAAGCGGGATAGTAATGACTGCCAGCAAAGCAGAAGGAGGACGCAATTCCAAACTCGGGAAAATTCCTTATATAAGACTTTGAGGACCTTGCCTGCACTGAGCCTGACAAATGTGATGCATCGTACAGTTCTCACTCGCACAGATGTGAATCTTAGCAATTATTGTGCATCTTTATCCGTCAATACGGCAGTTGAGCGCGAAATGAAATCAATGCGCACGGGTAAGGTGTTATATATTTTCAAGGTCTTGCATCTGACGCAACATAAAGTCGAGTGAAAACTCATGCTGAAGGCGCCAACGGTTATTAACGGTCATCACCGCATTATATGAGATCGCAACTGGATTCGCTCACCCATGGCATACCCGTTGTCGACCCCTTTTAGCAAAAAGGTTTGGACATCAGGAATCACAACAGCGACGACGACGACTGCACATTAAAAGTTTTTGCAACCTTTATAGTATTACGTTAAGGTGTCGTGCACTCCTTTTACCGATATGTTAAGGCGTCGGAAATCGCAAAAGACTAAGAACGACCACGTTTACTGATGCTTTGATAGTTCGATATTGGATGTGAAGGTAACGTCACCGTTATTGTGAAGGTGCGACAAAGGTTGCCTCTGAATTTAGAAGCGGTAGTTGCAAACAGTTGTTGGATCTCTTTGCGATTTTAGAAGCGACAAAGGTCCGATAATGGATGTGAAGGTAACGTTGCGAACAACGAATCAATTCGCAGTTATCGGTGTTCGATAGAGCGCCTTAAGGAAGTGTCAAACAGTCATTGGCTCTCTGTGCGGATTGCCAAAAACACTCCCAGGGAACCTTGATGCCACGTTGAAGTTATGTCGTGATCTATTTGATGACTGAGCACCTTCAAGAAGTGTCAAACAGTCGTTGGTTGTCTGCGCGGATTGCCATTAGCACTCTTAGGGAACGTTGATGATGGGTGTGGATTTGTTTCCCGCAGGTTATCAGTTTTTGGGCAGTCTTTAAAGCTGAAGTCCGCCACTGGGGATAGTTTGGTGGGTCTGTGGTTGGCCTTCCTGTTGGACCTAGATATGTTTCGAGCAGAGTTTTGCACTTTACAAACAGAACTGAACTTTGGGTCCCGTAGGTTAGCAGTTGTTGGAAAGTCTTTGATGCTCAATAACAGTTGTTGGGAAGTCGGACCTTGTCTCTCAATTTGACAGCGGCAACGCGCTTAGAAAACCTCACAGAAAATTCCGAAAATTTTAGGCTTCGTAGATTTGTCCGTGATTGTTCCACGAAAAATATCAATAATTTGAAGGAAATATTTGTGGCATGCCGACTTTGCCAAGATGGAGGAGTCAATTTCATATTCGGCAAAACATGATTCAAATGACAAACTTTTTCACGATTTATCCATTTTTTCGATAAGACAGAAGGTCTTTAAATAAAATATCATTTTTTGCGAACTTGCATAAATGATCTCTCTTCAAGTGACAACACAAAAGGCAACAATTTTGGCCAATCATCCATTTTGACGAACGCCTCATATCGATCCTTCAACAACAAACAACGTCGAAGCACATGGGTCAAGCACACATACATACTGGCGATAGCACGGTTGATGATCATTTTGCCAAACTTGCTGTTACGAACAATTTTTTGTTGACAACATAAAAGGTAATCACTTGGGAAAATTTGTAGACATTAACGATCTTATCACAAATGTATGGCAAGTGCGAATATGTTCACATTTGTCATGCAGAAACAAAAGTCAGCATTCAGTGAAGAGTACGAGATGAATTCTGGCGATAACAAAATTGGTAATCATTTAGTGCACCGCTGAATTTTCTGCAGTCCGTAAAACAACTTTAAGCATACATATATTCTGGCGATAATTGGTTTCGGAATTGAGAACAAGTTCACAATTGTCATATGGAACCAACAGTCAACATTCAGTGGAGACAAGAAAGTTGGTGGTTGCGGGAAGTAGGGCACAACAGAGAAGGTGAACAGTAAAATGGGGCGGTACACGTAGAACAGGGGCGAACCAAAATATGTGAAAGTTGGGCGGTCGGGGCGGGGGGGGAAGGGGGGCTTTTACACCACAAAGTCTCACGTAAGAAAGAGATAAGCATGAAATAATTTGGCGGCCAAGAAGAAATCACTGATATTTTTCATCAACATCCTGCTAAATAAACCAAAGTATCGAGTCCTATGAGCATTAGTGTAAAAAATATCCACAAGAGGACAAAAATGTCTCATGAGTAACACAGGAGCACAACCTGGAAACGAATAAAGGCAGCACGGCGCTGCCGCGATCGTAGAGGACATAAGGATAAGAACCCGATACAAACAAGGGCAGCACAAAGCAAGGATATTCACATCCGATATCTAAGCGTCTATTTAAAAGACACTGCATTGTGGCAGGGATATTTACATCGACATCCAAGTTTCTACTTCACCTAAGTGTCCGCTGCAACCCTGTAGCTGATGTTGCTCGGCAAGAAATGAGAATAACCTGAAAACAAACAAAGGCAGCATGACGCTGTCGAAAGTCCTACGAGTAAAATTGACAGGTTCCTCAAAATGAAGAACCCTTAAAAAAATACCACAACACGAGGCTGGGATATTCACATTGACACCTAAGCGTTTACTTAATCAAAACGTCCACTGCAATCCACTACCTCATCAAAACAAAAGCACAACTCGAACCGGTCGATTGATAGACTAAGTGGGAATAGATTCACACTTCTGCTTATGACCTTGTGAATAAAAAACTTCACGTATTTTCAAAATACGGGTATTATTATGAGCCTTGGAGTATGTCCACCGCAATCCTCACCCTGACGTTTGGAATGTCGCTTTGGGCTATCGAAAATGGTGGCGGATGGCCGCGTGCAATAAAATAAGCGAAGACCAGCATGGAAATACCGCAGCTCGACCCGTCCGACTGTTGTGAGACACCATGAACAACCACCTTGGGCTCCGGGATATCCAGTTTCACGATTTGACCATATTGACTAATTGCTTCGTCACGAAGGTATTTCGTGAAGTTCTCAAGCACATCGGACGAAAAACCGCCATCGTCTTCTAGGAGGGAGTCATAGTACTCCAGTCGTCCTTCGCGGACACATAATAGGGTCCAATGCACTCGATTCTTATTAACAGGAATCAATACTATGTCGTACGAGAAAATATTCACATCTTTTGTCCATCTCGCAACCCTATCATATCGACATCCGCCACCCACGAGCTTGGTATAGCAAAACGGACTGAAAATGTAAACAAAGGGACACCAGGCAACATAGCGTTGCCAAGCAAGACCAAGTATGACTCCACCACCTCGTCAGAAAGCCATCCCCCTTGGACAAGAGTCTGAAGATTTTTTCTGCTCAATAGAGTAGAACTGACCCCTTTGCGAATCGAGGAAATCACCTCGTGGCCGTTGCTGAAATCTCCGCAGACGTCTTGCAACATTCTCAAGTCTGTAGTACTAAGCTCCTCAATAGGCAAGGAAACGTGAAAAAATGAGGTAGCCCCAGCTGCATAAACACCCACGAACAAGTGTGAGGAGCGACCAAAATTACCGGGGCGAAGTGGCTAAGAACTGTGTGCCCTTTTTCCAGAAAAGTTATATCCTCGATTGTTCAATGTGTCCTTGGCGATGTACTTAGGATACGGGTTTTTGAAGACACCCCGTTTGACATCGTCATCAGACCCATCAGACAAAGTAGTAACGCTTTCAATAGACACAGCCATATGTTTCTGCAAAGCTTCCACCTTATCTATTCCACAAGCCTTCAGAACCTTGACAGCTCTCTGGGAAATGTGAGGGAGTTGAACCCTTTTAAACAACCCTACACTTGACGAGGACTTCTTCGGTGAAGCGGTCAATGACCTCCCTAAAAAACGTTTTCCGCGCATGGTTTTGGAAGGTTTAATAGGCAGGGACATTGACAATCTAACACCTGTAAAACATAGAAAACAACCCACAACCCACAAGCTTTTTTTCAACAAGTGGTAATAGCTACATGAGCCCATCACATCAATTTGGATAAACACAGAGCTGAACAGTGATAGATATGCGAGTGCTACTATTCACAAATCTTACCGTGGCACTGCTCGGGAGCCCTTCAAGGTAAATCGCCCTCTTGTCGCGCCACTGTGCCTATGTCCACGGAGGATTCGACGTTCTGCACCTCGGCCACGGTTGAGTCGCTAACCAGCTCGGTGGCAGTTGATTCGCTACCCAACTCGATGGCTTCATGAAGTACCATTTCCCGACCGGTACTGAGGACAGACGCTCGATCACCTTCTTCTTCACCGCAACGGGTGGACGGAGAATCATGATCTTTCCGCGCTGGATCCATCTGGACGTCGACTGCCACCTCACCTCCTTCCACCACGAGTTCTTCGCCTTTCTTTATCGCCATAAACCCGAGCTTCCATCAGGGGTACTTCTTCGCCTTCCTCATCGCCAAGAAGTCGAGCTTCCACGAACGTCCACGTACGTCCTTCCTCCCCACGGTCATTGCCTTCCACAAACGTCCACTGACCTCCCTTAACGTCACCCTCTTGCATCGTCGCCACAACCGACCGACTGTGCAGAACCTCTTCATATGTCCCGGTCACCAGCACTCTTGCGTCGAGCCCCTTCAGCACTTCGCGAGCCGGCCAGTGTTGAGTCTCCTCCTCCCGCTGCAGAGCATGCGCTTCTTGTGAGAGCTCCTCTTCCCCTGGAGTTGCTGTACTCTTGCTCTCCGAGTCGACGGACGCACCCCCTGAAGCTTGACGTTCATGCTCGCTAGCCCCAGTCTCCAACACTCCTGCATCGACCCCCTTCAGCACTTCGCGAGCCGGCCAGTGTTGAGTGTCCTCTTCCCGCTGCAGAGCATGCGCTTCTTGTGAGAGCTCCTCTACCCCTAGACTTGTTGTACTCTTGCTCTCCAAATCGATGGACGCACCCTCTGAAGCTTGACATTCACGCTCACTAGCCCCGGTCCCAACACTCCTGCATCGAGCCCCTTCAACACTTTGAGAGTCGTCCACTGTTGAGTCTCCTCTTCTAGCTGCAGAGCATGCGCTTCCTGTGAGAGCTCCTCTTTCCCTGGAGCTGCTGTACTCTTGCTCTCAGAGTTGACGGACGCAACCTCCGAAGCATGACGTTCATACTCTCTAGCCCCGGTCTCCAATACGACACCGTCAGTGTTGAGTCTCCTCTTCCCGCTGTACAACATGCGCTCCCGATGAGAGCTCCTCTTTCCCAGGAGCTGATGTACTCTTGGTCTCAAAGTCGACAGATACACGTTCCGAAGCATGACGTTCATACTCGCTACCCCCGGTCTCCAACACTCCTGCAGCGAGGCCCTCCAGCATTTTGCGAGACTTCCAGTCTTGAGTCTCAACATATGAGAACGGCGGTGAGCAGGGGAACACTGTGCCCAACTGAAGATGCGGAGGGTTGGACCTCACATTTTCTTGGCTCTGCAGAACTGTAGCGTGAGGAGCACTGCTGACGGAAGGCCTGCAGGGGGACATCAATAACTCCGAATCTGTTCGGACTTTGCGGCGAGCACGGCTGGCGGAAGGCCCGCAGGATGCCGTCAGTAACTCCGATTTTATTCGGAGTTTGCGACGCTTGCCGGAGCTGAGGGAACTGACACTCGCACTTTCGCTCCTTCGCAATGCAGGCATTCTGGCCTCCAGGCAAAACGAAGATGCAATTCCTGCCAAGGAATGATTTTGCTGCTCAGCACATGTTTCCGTATGCAGCAGACGTTCGCCCTTTTCCAAGAGGCGCAAGAGCAAGGTGTTGTGCAGAGGAGACGTCGGTTGCGTATGATGAGACGAACTCTCCTCGACATTGGAAAACAAAGTCCTCGCAGACAAGTGCGAATCTACTCGCACTTGATAAGACTTGAGGGCAACCTCGTCTCGCATGTCGGAGTCTCGATTCCCTACGCAATGGCTATCAGTTTCCCTAGACTCATGACTCCCGAACGCTCTACGATTTCTGCCCGATCCCTTTCTGCCAGACCCCTTCCCACCGGACCCCATTCCGCCCGACTCCTTTCCACCCGACCCCTTGCCGCCCGACCCCTTTTCGCCTGACCCCTTTCCGGGAGATCGTGAGCCGTCTCCTCCCTCACCTCCTCCAACAGATCCTGAGCCGTCTCCTCCGTCACCTCCTCCATGAGATCCTGAGACGTCTCCTCCGTCATCTCCTCCATGAGATCCTGAGCCGTCTCCTCCGTCACCTCCACCGTCTCCTTCGTCTCCTCCTCCACCGCCTCCCGGATGCTGACCACCCGACAGAGGTTGCGGCATGCGGCAGTCAGTGCTACGAGACGGTGCCGTTTCAAGTGTGTAGAAAGGAGCTCGAAACTCCGGCATTTTGTTGTGGTACAGCTCGTCGAGCTTCTGGCCTGCATACGCATTGACGTCCGACAGTCTCCTTTTGGGGTTCATCACACTCAAATGCTCCACCAGAGCTTCTCTCGCCTTTTTGTTAAATGGAGCCGCTCCCAGTTTGTTTCGGCGACTCCACTTGCCATCGGGTTCGTTCATTGCCATGACCCACTTTCCATTCTTTACAACAGGTTGGAATTTCCTAGGGTGTCAGACGGTGTTGTGGCCCCAGACATCCTCCGCTGTGAACCGGTGGTGCTTCACGTAGAAGAAGAGTCTTTCATTCTCCCAGGTTTCATGGTCCTTAGGGAGCTTGTCACCAGGTTCGTACTCATAGTCTCTCTCGTCTTCCCCGTAATCAAACGATTGGTCCTCGACTGTTTCGTGCTCAAACACACACTTCAAACCGGCAGGGGACGCGTTATATCTCCGAGGACCACCTTCCCCTTCATCATCAACCTGTGCAACCACCCGAGGAAGTGGCATGGACTCGAAATCGAAGGTTTCAGAGTCGCTCAACTCCTCCATGTCTTCAGCGTCGAAAGTGTCATCCTCGTCAAACTACGCCTTGTAGTGTTCGAGGGTCAATGGTTTGGTCATCAAGAAGAAAATGTACTCCACCCTTTTCAGGAAATTTGAGACAAACTCTGTGGGTGCATCATGGTAACCATTCAGCACACCGAACATCATGTTTCTTTGTCGATTGTATTCCAGGTCGGTCTGAGCAGGCGGTCCTGGTTGGAAAAGGAAGTCCCAAACCTCCGTCCTTTTCTTCCCCGGCAATTTCCAATAGTGCATGTCACGTTTGGGATCCCAGTTCCGTTCGCTGATGGTCTAGACGAAAGAACAATCGTGGCGAGGGTCCCCCACTCATGTCTTAACGAACTCGTTAAGGTAATCGATCACCCTCGCCTCGTTCTCTAACGCAACGACATTCCGACTGCTGCGCAGGAACTCCCACACGAAAGACGCGTGCGCCTTCCCAAGGAAAAAAACCAGTTTGCCCAACTCTGCAAAAGTTTTCGAGCAGACCAATTAGACGAGTCGGGTTGCGCTCCCTGTCCCCGTAAGTAGCTCCACGAACACTTGTCACACCGTCGTCCTCCCACTGGCTACGAGGGAACTTATCGTCGTCTGCCACGTCGAAACAGGCCACAACCTGTCCTGATGGATCGGATGAACAGACAACTTTCTAGCGGGCCGTTGCTGCGGGTTTGGCCGGACTTGAAGCATGAGCACGGAAGAGGCTTCGTTGGATTACTGGTCGGGAAGACTGCGACCGTGTTGTCTGTCAGGTTCTCACCATTGAAAACCAGGTACAGGCGATCATACTCCTCGACTAGCATATTGCCTTCCTGGACAGTGACCTGCCTTTGTGCATGGCGCACCCACTTCTCTGTCCTGACGTGATGGACGTTATGCTTAGCCATACCTTTCAAGAAACTGAGCTCCCAACGAGAGGGGAAGAACACCACAAGTGCCCAGTGCTTGGCGATAGGGTTTGGAGAACGCCTTGCAAGGATGCGAAATCGTCTTCTTGCCAGTCTGAGAGGAGTGTGGGATCACACAGATCGAGGACGTACAAGTTGCATACGTAATGTCGCACAATCTCACGGATCTCAGTGAGACAACTGTGAGCTTGGGAAGGCAGACAACCGAAAGGAACAAGGCTGGTCACCCGGTTAAGCTTCTGCCATTTGATGTGCCTCACATCCCCGCTGACCCTGATCGTGTCTCGTACTTCTTATTGCATTCGTCGCAAGATGGAACAAACGGACTTCTCGAAAGATTTAGAGAACCTGTCATCATCATACATTCTCTTCGTTTCGTCGAGGGACTCCTTCTCGTATGGACGAGTATGTTTGCAAGTGTTCACGTACTCCACCGCGCCTTGGAAATGCTTCCGCAGTTCGACCCACACCTGCTTCGTGAGGCCCTGCGGCCTGAACTCCGCCATAAGCTGCCCCTCAGTCCGAAAAAAAAAGCTCCCGTAGCGCTTAACCTCCGCGTCCTCCTCCGATTCAAGGAACAAGATGTAGTGAAACATGCGGAGCATCATGCGGCCCACTTTCCTTGTCGCGACCATGTCTTTAATTCCAGGCTTATGTTGACATTTCAGATGCCCGCCCACCGATTGCACGAACACTCCCCTCAGCGCGAGAATGTCTTTGAGGATCGACAATTTTTCGGCATCGGTCATGTCTGCGAGAGACTGCCAACAGAACAGCGGCGGGACCTGGACCAGTCACCCCATCTTTGTTTCACCAGCCGCCCCTTTCACGCCCATTTCTAGAATCGCTTGAAGACCCGGAGATTTGTCTGGCATGTATTTGCGTGGCTTTGACAAGGGCATTTTCCCGTCTCCGCCCAATAATTTTCCCTCAGCCCATTTGTCGTAGAACTCCATGCCTTTGCGGAAAACGTCATCACTGGCCATCACGAGCGGCATCCATTGCCTCAATGCATTCCCAATGGCAGCGACGTGGTCCTTGTCAGTGAGCGTTGTCGCTTTACTTGCCATCGTCTAGTGAGCCCCGTTCGGCCTCTTTCCCAAAAGCAGCTTTTGGAACTCGAAAAACGCCTATTTTTCGGCCTCGTTACCGGAAGGGTTCCCTTGAATGGTCACTGGTCTTCCTTGATTCTCCCATGCCTCCCGCATGTCCTCGAAAGCGGCTTTCTGCGCACGTTGCTTAGACATATTATGTCTTGTGTTCTCCGTGAGATTGACCTGCAAATACCCTCCAAAGTCTTCGTCGGAGAACCACACGACTCTCGCCGGCCACGAGTGCATCTTCCACAATTCGAATATTTACTCACCGTCCAACTCCTTCACATCAGCCACAGTGTGTTGTCCGTTGACAGGGTAACAAAAGTACTTGTCCTTGTCCTCGGGCTTGAAGACATCCTTGTGAACACTCTCAGCTCTCTCCGGCCTATGCCTCACCGGCTTGTACATGGGTGCCAAAACGAAAGGGTTTTTCGTCCAGATCTTCCCCTTTTCATCGTGGAATTACCTTAGCATCGTGCCCTTGATGTCCTCCACACCATCGCGAGTGAGACTACGGTGATTGTAATATCTTTCCCACGGCGGAATGTCGCAGACCTTCTTGGGGCAAATGAGCAGTTGAATGGGGGGCTCCTTCTCCACGATGTCACCGTCATCGTGCCGCTCGTATTTGAGCCAAAACGCTGCCGCTTCGTCATACTGCCTACCGACATCCCTTTCGTCACCACTCATCCCCTCACCAGTCTTCCTCCTTCGAGGTTTTTTCTGGCCATCGCCTTCCTCAACTGTCAGTTTCTTTTTGGATTTCTCTGAAGGTTTTTCCGCAGCGGCAATGCCTAGATGAGCCAAATCTCCTTCACCCATAGCTTGTCCTTCGTGGATGGTCAAGCCGCCGGACCTCCTTGCTTTCTTACTTGCTGTTGCACCCTCTTCCTTCGACTGCCTCTTTTTGACTCCTTGTTTTTGTCTGCCATGCATCCCTGGCGTCCTCTTTCCCGAGGCATGTTCTCCGACGTCACCGTCATCCCCACCAATCATCGGCTCCGAGTGTCCTTTCATCCTCTTCATGCGTCGGGTTTGTTCCGCCACCTCTTCTCGCACCGTCTTCTGTCGCTCGCGCTTCTTTTCCGAAGAAGTCGGCTCCCCGCCGGACCTGTCGCGCACAGCGCCCACTCCTTCAGCCTCATTCCCTCCAACCTATTGCCCTGAGCTGCCGGATTCTCTTCTCGTCTCATCTCAAAACGAATACGTGTCGCCCTGACAGACGACCCTGAGGATTTTCGGAGTACCGACCTGGTGAGTCCCTGCATCTGGAGAATGCAAGCCATATGTGTTCCCAGGAGCATCCGGGCCGACCTGCGTCTGAATGTTGCGTGCGTGCCGCTTGCCCTGACCCCCATCGGCGTGAATCACACTCCCGTGCCCCACTGGCGTCACAGGGGTTTCTTGAGCCAAGCTGGACAACCCCTCATGGGCTAGGAGAAGCCGGAAAACATATTTTCGTGGAAGAACCGGACGGTCTTTCGGCACCTTCAGCGTGAGATCGAGATATTCCACTGGCGGTGGAGAACACATGCTGTTGTCATCGTAAAGCCCTTTAAAGTGACGACAAAATAGCATGTTCGAGTCGTACCCACAAAACTCTTGATCGGCACTATCACACCGTTAACACCTTTGTAAGGCAGTCTGCAGTGGTCGTATAAGATGTTAGTGTGCAGCTTGAGCAAGCCTCCAGACTAGTTGCCGAACGAGACGATGGTACCGAGAGAAAAAATGTCCGCTGCTCCCTCAGCGTATGGAAAGCAAGTGGGTCGCATGAAAACATCTGGCCCAACAAGGTTCTCCTCAACAACGAAGTCAAAAAACCATTGTGCATCCCTCGTATGAAAATAATGAGCAGTAGATTGCAGAAGAGGTCGTCCCTCCCCCGGGCAGACGGCCCAGCGCTTGTCGATGTGTTGTTCGCGGACGCTATTTTATGCCCAACCCTAGACCGAATCGGATGACCGGGAGGAAAGCCACTAGGTTTTCCTAAGAGTACAGAAGCAAAATGCAAACTAACTCGGAGTTGACGAAATGGAGGACCAAAACGACTTAAAAGATGGGTGTTTGAAATGCACACGAAGTCACAACAATTGGGTAAAGGAGAGGAAAGACAACACTCCTCTGGTAGAGTGAGTTCGGAGGAAAGATAACAACTCCTCGGAAAGATAACAACTCCTCGGAAAGAGTGCGAACCAACTCGCTGTCCCAGAAACGAGGAAGAGGCGGTTTATCTTCGGAAAAGTGCGAACTAACTCGGAGTTCTGGGAATGAAGACCTCTACAACAAGTACCGCATGGGTATCGACAAGTGGGAACCAACTCGCAGTTCTGGAGACAAGACAAAACGATGTACGAGATGGGTGTTTGAAATGCACACAAAGTCACAACAATTGGGTAAAGGAGAGGAAAGACAACACTTTTCTGGCAGAGTGATTTCGGAGGAAAGATAACAACTCCTCAGAAAGAGTGCGATCCAACTCACTGTCCTAGAAATAAGGAAGAGGCGATTTATCTTCGGGACAGTGTGAACTAACTCAGACTTTTGGGACTGAAGACCTCTACAACAAGTTCCACATGGGTATCGACAAGTGCGAAGTAACTCGAAGTTCAGGAGATAAGACAACAATTCCAACTTGCAGTTCTGGAAACGAGAAAGTCACGTTTAAGCAA